AGGTGTTGTATCACTAAATCTGAACCAAAAGAAACAATTGTTTATCTTAAAAAAGCGTAATATGGGGACTAGCAGATGGTGTAATGGTTACATCACTGGACTCCTACAGAGTCGACTGAGGTTCAAGTCCAAGGCCCGGTGACTTAAAACTCATGCCCACTGTCTGTACGCATGCTCCAAATGCCGAGAGGAGAAGGGATTGCAGCGTGGCCATCCCTGTTGGGGGGTGATTTCTCGCTTTCTGTCTCTCTGGTATGTACATGTGCCCTATAGCAAAAAAAAAAAAAGAAAGAAAGAAAAGGAAAAAAAAAAGAAAAAAATCTCTCTCGCGCTCTAAAATAAGGGTAATATGTGCACCCCCCAACAGGGATGGCCACGCCGCAATCCCTTCTCCTCCACTCTCCTTTAGGGATTTTGGGCACATATGTACATGCATATCTTCCAAAATGCCAGATCCCCAACTCAAACCATGCACTCGGCTATGTGAAATCCAGCTGTCTTAACCATCATGCCACCTGGTGTAATAGTTTTAAAATGAGGTTATCCTGGGCCGGCTCAATGGCACAGTGGTAATGCACTGCTCAAGAGAAGCTGGGTCCTACATGATGACTATGGTTTGAATCCCTCCCTGGGCAGCTGGAAACTCACTGGGCTCACATGCAAATGCTCAAGATCTGATGGAACAGAGGGCTGGAGGAGGAGGACTGCAGCATGACCAGACCCTGTGGAGGGTGCTCCATTCTCTCTCTGTCTCGTGTGCATGTGCTCTATCATGAATAAAGGAAAAAAATAGGCAACCAGATTTCTTGGACTGCAGACACCTGTAATTTGACGTGAGCGATCAGAAACCAGGTAGTGTAGTGGAGATGTCGGTGCAGGGTAGCTTAGGAGAAATGGATGCATGTCTGCCAGGGTTTAGAACCATAAATTCAGAGATGATCAAGGGCAACTCATTAACTGTTGTTGAGATCACCAACTCTGAGTAAAAGTTGGTTTATAGGAAGAGGAGAAAAAAATCCAACAAAACACTCAGATAATGCCATCAGAGAAAACCACCCTATGCTAAAGACTCTGAGGAAACCCTAGAAGAGGTGCTCTCTTCTATAGGAAGTACAAGGCATTTGTAGGTAATGTAGGGATTCTCAAAATATATTGATAAAAAAATCTAAAATATCACAACCCTTTATTGGATTAAAACAAAACAAAACAAATAATTCACTCAGTGGGAGGAGAAGACTATTTGATAAAATTTATGCTCATTCTTGATAAAAAGTTTCAGCAAATGAGGAATAAGAAAGGCACTTCCTTGACCTGTATCAAATACAGTAAACTTCCTGTCCCACAGTGAAACGTTAGAAATGTTCCCTTTAAAATCAGCACAAAGCAAGGCTGCCCACAAGAACCACCTTTATTCATCATTGTACCAGCAGTCCTAGCAGCAAACCAGCAAGAAAGATGAGAAAGATGTGAGATCTAGGTAGTAGCAAAAAACTTCTTCTTCTTTTTTTTTTTTTTTAGAGAGAGATTTTTGTTATAGGATGCATATGCTCACTAGAGAGACAGAAAGTGAGAAATCACCTCCCAGGGGGGATGGCCATGCCGTAATCCCTTCTCCTCCATTCTCCTCTCGGGATCTTGGGCATGCATGCACATGTGCCCAGCATGAGTATTACGCCACTGGGTCTGGGACTCAAACCATGGTCGACTACGTGGGAGTCCAGCAACATAACTTATGCTATCTGCTGGTCCTAAAAGCCTCATTCTTTTTTTTTTTTTTGGAGAGGTTTTGCGCTATAGGGCGTGTGCGCTTGCCAGATAGACAGAGAGAGACATAGAGACAGAAAGCGAGAAATCACCCCCCAGGGGGGATGGTCATGCCGCAATCCCTTCTCCTCCATTCTCCTCTTGGGATCTTGGGCACGCACGCACACGCGCCTGGCGTGAGTTTTAAGCCACTGGGTCCAGGATGCGAACCGCGTTCGACTACGTGGGAGTCCAGTGACATAGCCATTACGCTAACTGCTGGTTCTCAAAAGCCTCATTCTTAAGACAGACATGCACTCACCATAGAGACAGAGAGGGAGAAAATGAGAAATTACTACCCCCAGGGGGGTTGGTGACACTACAGTCCTTTCTCTTCCACTCTCCTCTTGGGATTTTGGGCTCACATGCACACACACACCCTGCATGATTATTACGCTGCTGGGTCTGGGGCTAGAATACGGTTGGCCATGTGGGAGTCTAATGCCTTAAATACCATGCCAAAGGCTGGCACTTAAGACAGATACTACTTTTAAAAGACAGAAAAATAAAACTACATAAATATCTCTCTATCTACTCAGGGAATAAATATAACAAAAATATATGTATATGTGCCATACAAAGATAATATTACAACATTTTAAATGCATGAAAGAAAACCAAAATAGAGACAACTTATCATGTATGTGTATGTGTGTGTATGTGACTGGACGTACGTGTACAGAATAAGACATAAGAGTAAAAACAAGATGTTAGTATTTGTTATCAGACAGTGGGAGCGTGTGTGTGCGCGTGTGTGTGTGCACATGCGTGTGTGCGAATATTGTCTAATTTTTAATATAAACCCAAAGCTGTCCTAGTTATGTGCTATCTCAAGTGTACATGAACTATATATCATACTGTATTTAGCCTTTAAAAATATAAATAGAGCCGTCAGCAGGTGGTGTGGTGGTTAATGGTTGACTGGGTTGACACAATTATGCTGATGGCCGACTGCGGTTTGAGTCCTGGACCTGCCAACTTGCTTTCTCACTTTCCTGCTCTCTCTTTCTTTCACATTCTGACCATCTCTGGTCAATTTAAAATAAATAAATAAAGTTAAATAAAATAATTCTAAAAAAATGTAAATAGACTATTTCTTAGACCAGGTATCTTCTAATTTTTCTACTGTGAACTTGCATTACTTATGTAAATTACAAGAATCATTCTTTCTTGCTTTCAAAGTTACATGTCTTTACCTTCTTCATCAAGGCTGCTAAAACTTTGTCCTTCGGTCAGCAAATCTCGCTTCTCATCCTTCCACTCCTGGCTAATCGAAGACACAATCTCCTGTGAGGTTGCCTTTAAGGCAGCAATGGAATTGCAACGTTTCTTAGAAGGTGAGGCCTTCAAAGCTAGAAAGGACAAAGAGAAACAGTAAGATACTTATTGCAAAACCATATTAACACTGGGTTGTTGGAAAATCCATATATTTTCCTATGTTTTTCTAAGCAAAATTGCATCATGACTTTTCCTACAACCAAATATTTTATTGATGAAATTCATATTGTGTTACTAACATTTCATTCATTATTTGAGCCTTATTTTGTATATGGGAAGGGAGATGTAACTGTGTGTTTTGCTGTTATTTGTCCAAAATGACTTGAATGAAATCAAATTATCCTAAATTAGAGTTGAACTTTCTCTCCAGATTTTTTTTCTTTTTTCTTTTTTTGGAGAGGTTTTTGGTATAGGGCGTGTGCACTTGCCATAAAGACAGAGAGACAGAGAGACAGAAAGCGAGAAATAACCCCCCTAGGGGGGATGGCAACATCACAATCCCTTCTCCTCCATTCTGCTCTTGGGATCTTGGGCACACATGCACACATGCCTGGCGTGAGTTTAAGCTGCCGGGTCCGAGACTCAAACTGCGGTCAACTACATGGGAGTTCAGCAACATAGCCATTACGCTAACTGCTGGTCCCCACATTTTGAAATATAGTCACATTTGAGATGATTTTTACATGGTTTTGTTGCTAAAGAATTATTTTCCTCTTTCAAACAATGTTTTTCTAGTGCTGGGAGGAGGTTGGACTGGGTTGGTAAACGCAGATGGTAAAGTACGGAGAATTCTCATGACCCTAGTTTTACTATGTTGGGACTGGGAATTTCTAAACATGCCCGTGTTTAATCTTACAGTCACATGGTCCACTTTAGGAAGTTGTTTCTAGTTGCTTTTTCCTTCCTGTGACTTTCCGCTGAAATTTCCTACCCTTTTGGTATTTTCTAGGTCATGGTTATGTCAGATGTATAATTCACTCCTGATCTTTGTCTATACAGCATTCTACAATTTCAAAAGTGTGTTGGGAACCCAAACCAATGAAATATGAATGTCACCATCCACCCTGCTTGCCGAAGTCTGGGATGTTACCCAGGGTGCACCTGTGGAAGCTGCTTAGCCTGCAGCCGAACTGTATCCGTTTATATTCCCTCTTTGCTGCAGTAATTCCTCTTGGCTTCATGTTAGAGAATTTCCTTGGAGGGTAGAGGGAGAGGGCAGTGGAGGCTTTTTTCTGCTTTCCCCTGAACTTGTTATTGGCAGTGTCTCTCCTCCTTCGGAGGTTTGCATGAAGGGGCACCCTGACAGCACATGTACCAGCATAACCGTGTTTAGCCCTGGGAATCTCAGAGCTTAGATTACACTGCTCACTGGGGACCTTCCCCGAGGCAACACGCAAGAACTGAATTGGAGAAGGACTCTGGGACACACACAAGGGAAGAACAGAGGGCAATCTCTCCACTTGAAGAGAAGGGAAGGCTTATCTGTCCCTCGAGCAGTCTTAAAATCACAATAATATCACCATCATAATGAATAACATTCGTAGAGGGCTTTAGAGTTTGGAAGCCACACTGTGGCTGTGTATCTGAAATTATCCACACAGTTGTCTGACGGAAGCAGGCCCTTTGACAGGTCCAGAAACCAAGAGCAGAAAGGTGTATCTTGCTCAAGGCCATAGCATGAAACCCAGGTGTCTGTTCTTTCCTTTCTTTTTTCTAAATTTGCCTAATTGGTGGTTAATTTAAGTTCTTTAGCATTCTTTTTTCTTTCCCCCTGGCTAAAGTGTGGGAAAAATAAAGGTAAGGGCCAGCTCCAGGGCACAGCAGTAATGCACTATTAAAGAGAAACAGGAGCCCATGTGACAGCCAGGGTTCGAATCCATGGCCCAGTCTGAGACATACTGGGCATGCACACGGGTGCCCACACAGAATCTGTGGAGCTGGAAGATGGAAGGAAGGGGATCAGGGTGTGCTCAGACTCCACGAGAATGTCTGTCTGTCTGTCTCTCTTTCTCTTTCTCACTCTCTCAGGCATGTGTACACACTCTACCATGAATAAATAAAAACAAAGATAAAACTTGCTTTTCTTTGAGGGGAGAGTTTGAATGTTTAAAAAACGATCAACTTTTATCTTAATGATAACTAAGTGGAACAAATAAATCTTGCTTTCCTTAATTCTCCATGCCATCAAACGCAGGTCACAGGGCAGAGTAACCGTCCATGCACCGGCTTCTGCCTCCGCATTCTATCTGCCAGCTTTCCTAACTCTTCTATCAACTTTCAGTATGGTATTCTAAAACGTCTGTATCAGACGGTCTCAGATGTGGTTTGGGGACGAGTGGGAGTACCTGAGTCCTTCTTAGAAGATCTGCAACGGTAAAAACCATGTTCATAATGATAGTAAGGCATTATTTGCTTTTGCTTTCTCATTCTCTCATGAGGGTAGTTTTTCAGACTATGTGACCTGTGACATGACCAAGATGGAATGTAAAAGCAACTCTGAGACTCTAATTACTTCCTACTAAGCTAGACACAAGGATTTGAGAAAATGTAAAAGAATGCCACTTCTATTAATAAATTGTTTGGGAAAGATGATTATTTTTTAAAACAATTATTTTTATCTTAAAAATTTGTATTTTTTGTTAAAATTGGCTTATGTTAACATGTAATAGTTTTTTATTGCTATCTGTCAAGAATTGATAAGTATTTTTTTTTCATTTTAAATTCTGATATTCAAAATATAGCTAGCTATAACCTACACAAATGAAAGTTCTTGGGGCCAGCAGGTGGGATGGTGGTTAAGGTGCTGGATCACACATGGCTAATGCCACTATTAGAACCCTGGACCCAGACACTTGAAAAAAATGCCAGGCACATATATAAGCATGCCCAAAATTCCAAGGGGAGATGGGAGAAAAAAGGATTGCAGTGTGGCCATTCCCCTTGCCAGGGGATGATTTCTCGCTTTCCTTCTCTCTGCCTCTGTCTGGCAAGTGCATGCACTCTGTGGCAAAAATCTACAAAAAAAAAAAAAAAAAGAAAAGAAAAAATTGGGACCAGCAGTCGGTGTAATGGCTAAGCCGTTGGACTCCCATGTAGTAGTCAACTGTGGTTCAAGTCCTGAATCCAGTGGCTTAAACTCATGCTGGCAATGTGTGCCCATGTGCCCAAGATCCCAAGAGGAGAATGGAGGAGAAGGGATTGGGGCGTGGCCATCCCCTCTGGGAGGTGATTTCTTGCTTTCTGTCTCTGTATTTCTCTGTCTTTCTGGTGAGTGCACACATCCTGTAGCAAAACCCTCTCCAAAAAAAAGGTATTTGGGGACCAGCAGTTAGTGTAATGGCTATGTCGCTGGACTACCATGTAGTTGACCATGGTTTGAGTCCCGGACCCGGCAGCTTAAACCCAAGCCAGGCGCGTGTGCATGCATGCCCAAGATCCCGAGAGGAGAATGGAGGAGAAGGGACTGTGGTGTGGCCATCTCCCCTGGGGGGTAATTTCTCGCTTTCTGTCTCTTTGTCTCTCTAGCGAGTGCACGCGCCCTATAGCAAAAAACCTTTCCAAAAAAAGAAAGGAAAAAAAAAAGATATTTGGGGTCCTCAGTAATTTTTAAGGGTATAAATTGAGTAGGAGACCAAAAAGTTATTTTTTTCCACGCTTCCATGAGGGAGACAGAGATACAGGTACCCCTAGCAAGCTTTGCACTGAGATACTACCCACGGCCAGCCAGGAGCACAGGCACAGGCATGCCCAGTGTGCACGGAGAAGGCTCAGGCCACATCCTGGTCCCCTCCCATGTGGCCTCAGCCTTGCAAAGCATTGCAAGACTGCTGTACCACCATGGCCAGCCCACCAGAAGGTGTGGGGATTGTTTTTCTACGTCATAATTCTTAGGTTGATACCAATTCTCTAAAGTGAGAAAATGCTATGATCAAAGGCACACTGACAGCACCAAGGAAGGTGAATGAGGCGAGAGCCCAAGAGTGAGGGGAAGACACTCAGAAGAGTTGTGCTCATGGCTCTTAACGGAGCGAAGGCCAAGGGCCTAGAATAAGAAATATCTCTTTGTTCATTGTCAGCCACACGTATAACGAGAGCAGTGAGGAACCTGGAAACCAGCCTCTGTCAAGCCCATATCACATCTAAACAAAGACCTTACTTTTGCCTTAAATGGTGACTTTCTTCCTTAAAGAAATGATCTGTGGGAACCAGCAGTTAGCGTAATGGCTATGTCGCTGGACTCCTACATAGTCAGCCGCGGTTGGCGTCCCGGACCCAGTAGCTTAAAACTCATGCTGGGCGCGTGTGCGTGTGTGCCCAAGATCCCGAGAGGAGAATGGAGGAGAAGGGATTGCGGCGTGACCATTCCCCCTGGGGGGTGATTTCTCGCTTTCTGTCTCTATGTCTCTCTCTGTCTATCTGGCAAGCGTACACACCCTATAGCAAAAACCTCTCCAAAAAAAAAACAAAAAAAGAAGAAGAAGAAATGATCTGTGTGGGCTAGCGGGGTGTGGTGGTTAAGGCACTAGACTCTCACATGGCTGGCTACAGTTCGAATCCTGGATCTGGTAGCTTGCTTTCTCACTTTCTCTTTCTCTCTTTGGTCAAATTAAAAAATAAGAATAATAAGGGGGCCAGCGGGTGGCATGGTGGTTAAAGTGCTGGAATTCCCACATGGCTGACCATGGTTTGAGTACTGGACATGGCAGCTTGCTTTCTAATTCTCCCTCCCTCACTCTCTCAGTCTTTCTTTGGCAAAACTCATGTGAATAATAACAATAATCAATAAATCAATCTTAAAAAGTAATAATAAAAAATAAAGTCAAATACTTTTTTTTTTTTTTTAAAGGAAGAATCTGAGTCTTGCTCAGCAGGTAAGAACTGGAATCTCGTACAGCTCCGTGTCAGGGATTTGTCTTCAAAGATGGTTCAGGGCGCTGGTTCCTTTCTTCAGTGTGACAGAAACTCCTAGGCTTGTCTTTGGCTAAACCATGTCTGGGAATGTGTACCCTGTGCCCTTTCCTGGCCTTCTGTTTTACCACCCACCGCCTCTCACTTCACCAACCTACAGCTCCCC